GGGGCCGGGTGAGCCGCGCTCGGCGGCGGCCTGTGCAGAGCCAGGCCCGGCTCTGTGCGCCCCCGGCCCGCCCCGCACCCCGCTTGGCTTGGGGGGGGTGTCCCCTGCCCTGCGCAGCGCTTTTTCCTCCCCCACAAACCCGAATTTTAGATAAATATCAGAAGCTGTGCCGGGGTTTGGGCGCCTGTGGTAGGTCACGGGGGGTTTCCCGGCAGAGCCAGGCCCCGGGGGCGGGAGGGTAAAGCGGGGGGGGGGCTCAGCTGCACCCTCTCCTCCCCAGGCTCCCGCTCTACGACGCCGCTTGCCAGGTGGCCCAGGAGGTGGCTGAGAAGATCCAGGAGCGCAACCGGTACCAGAGGAACGGGGAGAGTTCAGCCAAGGTACTGCCCCGCCAGCCTTCCGAGCCAGATGTCGCTTTGAACTGCTCTAAACGCTGCTGGGGCATTAAATTTGCAGGAGTCAGATGTGGCTTGGAAGCTGTAGATCCTGAATTTCCTGCCTCTCCAGGAGCACTCACCAAGTGCCACAGCCCGGAGCCCTGTGGGGAAGGGGGTGACGCTCCCCAGCCTGTCTGGATCCCCCCACCATGCCCGGGCATGGGGCTGCCAGCCGGGAGCCTGCCAATTAAAAGTCACGTCTAGTGGCAGGGACTTAATATTAATAGTTCTTTAATATTTCCGTAAAGAAAACAAAGAGTACACTTTGTCAATTAACGGTAGCTTTTCAGTGCCACAAAAATAATCATAGAATCGTCTAGGTTGGAAGCATCTTGGCTTTAACTGTAATGAATCTTTTCTGTGTGTGCTGTTGCTGGTCATCTTGGCTTTAACCGTAATGAATCTTTTCTGTGTGTGCTGTTGCTGGTGTTGCAAGAGGAGAGCAGGGGGGGCCGTGGGGGTGCAGGGCACGTGCCGCTGGGGAGCGGAACTGCGTCTGGGGATCTGAGATGCTGGGATGTGCATCAGTTCTGTGTCCTTCTCTCTGTGTGAATATTGAATGGATACGTTTCCCCGCGAGGCTGGCATCCTTCCTTTCCGTAGTGGCTGTAGATGAGATGAAATATGTATTTTGTGGCCTTTTTTAGCTACATTTCTAACAAAATGTAACACCGGAGTTAAATATGAATGAGAAGCAGAAGTTAGAACTTAGCCAGGGATATGACGTTCTCCGCCTCTTCACACTTCCTGCTTAAAAAATAAAAGAGAGAGATTCTCAGGAGGCTGCTTTCTTTAGGACTAAAAGCCTCGTCCTTTCCTTCAGGAAGCACAGGAGCCTGCTTGGTCACACACCCTGGGGATGGTGCCATTAACTTCTCCCTTGACTGCGTTAAGATGAAAATGCTTGGAAGCCCTTGAGTTGGTCTTTTATAATAATTTGCATAATTAAAACCCCACCGGTTTATTTTGTAGGCTCTGCCTCTCTTGATGGCAGGGTTGTAGTGTGATGTGTGATCACCAAATCTTCTTTGCCAGGCTCTTTGCTGGTTGCTCTTCAAATAAAATGTCATTTTTTTGAGATGTTTCCTTTGAAGAAATGTCGAAGAAATCACTGCTTTTTAATGAATGACTCAAATTTGGCATGGATTGAAAAGAGGTTTCAGAAGGCCCAAATAAGTGGGATTTGAGAGAAATATTTTCTCTAGCTGTAGAACAGAGAGGAGTATTTAGAGGTGGCGATTAAACTCCTTGCTTTTAGGTTGATGAGGTATTAGCAGTTGGACAGATACACACGTAAGCAATAGAAGGCTGATAAAAAGATTGCTGCTTAATCCATCTGTGTTTATAGAGGACAAAGTTCTCTGTTGGCATCACTGCCATCGGTGACATGTTCCCAAAAACCCCAACAAAACCTTGTCTTCGTGTTGTTTGAAGCCTTTCTTGCACAGTAACTCTGCTCCGCTGTGTTTTATGGAAACATTACACGGTTGACTTGCTTCTTCATAAAATCATTTGTTCCGTGCCCCGTGTTTTCCAAGCGCAGTTTCCCTTTAATCCATTAACAGTTAAAGAGGAATATTTGGTGGTGTTTGATTCTACTGTAAACAAGTTTCCAACAATGAGAGAGTTGTTTTCATAACAGAGAGGCATGTTGAGAAATCCACGGCTGAGCAGCCATATATTCTGTGACTCCTGAATGTTTTAACGGAGGAAAAAAAAAATAATCTTTGTAGGTGTTTGCCTGGTAAGGAGAATGTAAACAAGATTTTATTTTTATAGTGTTTTGCCATTAGCGTGGCTAAAAAAACTTACTGCTTATTGCTGAGCAAAAAATAGAGCATTAGATTTAAAATGGGAAAAAAAAAAAAACCACACAAAGCCCGACCCTGTAGGGAAAGATTGAAAGATTTCAAACCAGGACTTACCATCTCTGAACTCTGCTCTATTGAGCTGGTCTTCGGGTTTCCATGGGTTTTTCTTTTTCTTTTCTTTTCTTTTTTTTTTTTCTCTTTTAATGGAAGTGAAATTCTTTGTCACAGCCCGGCAGCTTCTGGCCAGAGGAGCAGAGGGAGTCTCTGTGGGATGACTCTCTCGGATGTGTGTGCTTTTATGTTACTTTGCTGTTCTGGGCCGATTAACCGCAGCGTTCTCCACCCGGACACCAGTGCAGGGACTGTACGTGTGGAATGACAAGGCTTTTTATTGCCTAATTGCAGAGCTAGAGGGTGTGCAGGGGGTTGACCTTTCCTAAAAGCATTTACTCCCTATCCTGGCTTTGGAAATGATGCCTTAGTGTTTGGCAGAAGGTGGATTTTGCAGCTCTCCGCTCTGGCTGCGTGCTCTCAGCGTGGTTGCACCTGCTTTCTGTCGTAGTTGGTAGTGTTGGAGGAGAAGTCACACCGAGTCAGAGAGATTTAAACTTCTGAAGCATGGGGTGATTTTTGGGGAGCTCTGGCTCCATCCCTGCGCAGCCCCCAGGCACAGTTTAGCTGTAGGCAGGATCCTTGCAGCATGGTGGCTGCTCGGTGAGATGTCGGTGTCTGGCTGTTGCCTCTGTGTCTTCAGGGATGCGGGAAGGAGAGTCAAAGCAAATCCTCCTCCTCTGTTACTGGTTCATCACACAGAGCATCTGAGGTTGCGAACCGTTACAACCCACAGTGGGGCTAAGATCTTGTAAACAAGAAGCTCATAAAGTCTTAATTAGGATGACTTGCATAGTTAATTGCAGTCACCGTGTTTTTTCCTAGTATGTTCTACATAACTGGAATGAAAAGAAATAGCATTTCTGGAGGACAATCCCAGAGGATAACGTCAGCCCAGCTTGGGAAGGGGTGGGGAGGGAGGAGGAGGATTCCTGCAGACCTCGGGTTGCAGCAGGGGAGAATGTGAAGGACTTAATGATGTTTTTAGTGAGAGCAGCCACCTCTGGAACTTGGGCAGGTCAGTGGTGAGAGAGGGTCGGGAGTCACAGGTGCTGCTGAACAGGGAAATGGGATTTGAATTTCTTTGGGATCTTTAGTTTAAAGCCTGGAGGAGTTCAGTGGAGGGAGTGTCTGAACCTGTAGCAAGGTTTCCTCTAGTCCTGGGCGCTGGGAAAGAAACCTGGGAGCAGAAGCAGCTGGTGCCTCTCTCTGTATTAAAGATCAGAGGAAAGAACTGGAAAACTAACTGGAAAAATCTTAAAATGTGCTGGAATATTTTGCCCATATAAATGAGTGTTTTTTATAATGACTTGAAAGAAAGTCATTATAAACTCTCCATATTAAACAGTATTAAAGCTATAAAATTGTGTTTGCGAAACTAGTGCTATTTATCTCGTTATCTTGTAAGCAGTCCAGACCAGTTCAGGCATCGCTCCCCTGGTGGCTGTGAGTCAGGCTTTCTGGGTTTGGAATGGAGCCCTTCACACCAGTACGGCTGAAGTTAAATATATTTAACTTACACCTGCATATAGTAGTATTAAATTTTCTGCAGATATAACTCAGACTATAAAAAAAAAAAAAATAAAAATCTCTCTTTCTTCCCCTTCAGCTGAATGTGATTATCAGATCCTCGTTGCAGAACCTCAGAGAGAAGATTGATCAGCTGAGGGACTCGCTGCTTCGGGCTGTATCAACACACCAGATGTATCTGTGTAAACACCAGCTCACCGACCTTTCTGTGCTGGGGGAGAGAGTGGAAAAATGTGCTGTAATTACTCTGTCACACACTTGGGGTTTTTCCCTCATTCCATTTTTAGAAGAGTTTGTCTGTGCTGCTGTTTAGTATTTTTGCTGCAGCCGCAGAGTTGGGAGCGTGGGCATCTCCGGCAGGGCGGGCCCGAGGCTGGCCCTGGGTACCTTTGTGTCGGAGAAAAGCTTAACGAGATGGTCTGAATAACCTCAGAGCTGCCATTGTCTTGCCTGTGCACTGCTTTGTGAGCTGACATGGCTTGATTTTTCAGCAGAAAACTCACTGATGAGTGAATTTCTCTCGGCTTGGTTGCTGGCTGCAGGGGGTGCTGGGCTGGTCCTGGTGGAAAGGAAGGATGGAGCCTTGGGCAGGGACGTGGCAGCCCTGACTTGGACTGACCCAAGGAGTGCTGGAACTGCCTCTTCAGAATGATGTCAAAATGCTTTAAAATATGCCTTAGAAAGAAATCACAGGTTTTCTTCTGGGAGTGTTACCCCGTGGCCTTGCTTGGATTTGCTGCTCTGTCTGTATGCTGGCATCATCAGGCTTAGGGAGTCGAGGAAGTCCGTCTGTCTCCCTGCAGATACCCAGCAGCAGTCTGATTTAATGAATGTATGTTTAATATCAAGCTTAGTATGGCAGAAATCCCTTCTAAGCGCAGCCCCCAGTGCTGGTGGCCAGGGGTAAAGCTTTCGTGTCCAGTGAGCGCTTGAGAGACATGAATCCCATCCCTGGAGGGGTTCAAGGCCAGGTTGGAGGGGGCTTGGAGCAACCTGGTCTGGTGGGAGGTGTCTCTGCCCAGGGCAGGGGGTGGCATTGGGTGGGCTTTAAGGTCCCTTCTAACCCAAACCACTCTCTGAGTCTATGAGTGCTACTGCTGTGGCAGAAAACACAGATCAGTTCAGCTGGTGCATAATCTGCTGAACAGTACTCGGGAGAGAGTTATTAGTCCTTCAAGATGTCACTAAGATTAATTAAAAAAAAACCAAACACACGTTCCCTGTCGAATCTGCAGCGCTTCGGGGCACCTTGTCTTTCAGAGATACTGCATGAACTGTTTTCCTGCTGCATCAGTGGCCAGTGGGATGTTCTGCTGGTAAATTCCAACTGGAAACAGATGCTCTGGGTAAATGTTTGGTTGTTCACTGGTTCTTGCCCACGAGCGACTCACCTGGGCTGTGGTGTGAGCCGTGAAGGACTCTGCTGATTTCCAGAGCTCTGTAGTGTTTGGGGCTGCCCCAGTTATAGTGTAACAGTGGGAGCTGGAGCTCTTTTAAGAAGAGTCATTCTTCCCCAACTGAACCCCTGCAGTACGTTAGACATCATCAGCGTTGGAGGACATCAGCTGGGTAGGACTTCTCAAAGCAGAATTATGTTGGATTCTGGAGGGGAAAATGCTGGTCTTAAAACTTAGGCTAATTTGGCAGTAAGTGGCCTTCCAGTTCTCTTAGTACTTTGAGGTGATGGCCCAGAGATTACTCTGAAATGTCTTTAGAATAACAGCAGATTTCATTCAGAAAAATGTGACCCATCCTTATCTTATATATTACAGAGTTTAAATAGTTCCTCTAATTCGTTTTGATGATCAGGGGGTCTGATTTAGTTTAAGAATGTATAATGGGTAGTATTCAATATAATAAAAGGCAAGTTTTCCAGTGTTTTTAAGTTTGGTCCTTAACCAAGTGTGCTCAGCACGCAGCTGGAGGGCGACAGGAGGCAGAACCTGGTGGACGACCTTCTCACAAGGCAGAAACAACTGGAGGCATCTTACAAGAACGAAGGCCCGGAGCCAGACGTGATCAGGTAGGACATTGTCACCCCCCCCGGACAGTGGGCTTTGTGCTCTGACCAGGTCTCAGCACAGTATGAAATGCATCCGCTGAACTCGGTTACCTCCACGGGAAGCAAACTGGGGTTTTGTTTGCTTAGAAATTGTGCTTTTTTTTTTTTTTTTTTTTTTAGTGAGAGTGTCACGTATGTATATAAAACTGGGGAGGAATGGGGAGTAATATGGGTAATACTTTGCCGTCACCCGTGGAGTGGGGCTGTGGGTGCCACCGGACGAGGTCTGCGTGAATTAGTGGGAAGAAAACTGTCAGGATGAGGCTTAAGCTTCGCACCATCCCCAGTGATGATGTGCAGCAATCAATGGTGGCCTTCAAATGGAGTACAGGCCCATTTCCAATTTGGTGTGTCTTTCACAAGGACAAATGTAAGGTCCTTCACCTGGGGACCCCAGGCACCAATACAGGTCAGGGATGGATCTTCTGGGAAGCACTACTGAGGAGAAGGATCTGGGGGTCCTGGTAGATAGCACACTTTCCATGAGCCAGCAACGTGCCCTTGTGGCCAAGAGGCCAATGGGATCCTGGGCTGCAGAGGGAAGAGTGTGGCCAGGAGGTGGAGGGAGGTCATTCTCCCCCTCTGCTCTGCACTGGGGAGGCCACAACTGGAATCCTGCCTCCAGTTCTGGGCTCCCCAGTTCAAGAGAGACAGGGAACTGCTGGAGAGAGTCCAGCGTAGGGCAACAGAGATGATGGAGGGATTGGAGCATCTCCCTGATGAGGAAAGGCTGAGAGAGCTGGGGCTCTTGAGCCTGGAGAAGAGAAGGCTGAGGGGAGACCTTATTTATGTTTATAAGTATCTAAAGGGTGGGTTGAAGGAGGATGGAGCCGGACTCTTTTCAGTGGTTCCCAGTGACAGGACGAGGGGCAACGGGCACAAGCTGGACCATGGGAAGTTCCATTCAAATACGAGGAAGAACTTGTTTGGGGTGAGGGTGGCAGAGCCCTGGCAGAGGCTGCCCAGGGAGGGTGTGGAGTCCCCTTCTCTGGAGATCTTCAAGCCCCACCTGGATGCTCCTGAGTGATGTGCTCTGGGCAACCCTGCTTTGGCAGGGGGGTTGGACTGGAGGGTCTCTAGAAGGTCCCTTCCAACTCTGACAATTCCGTGATTCACAGCTGGGAAGTATAATTATGGTTAATAGCCTTCAAGTTGTGCTCTCCTTATGCCATTCTCTTACATCCCCTTCCGAGTGGAAGGAGTTATGTTTGTTGTCTCTAATATTTCTTAGAATCCATCCCTGGTGGTCTCTTGTCTTTTCTTGAAGCATAAAATTCAGGCCTCTATTATAATTAGTAAATTATTAGCAGTGCATGAGTTGGGTTTGGTGGGAGTCACACAGGTGCTGCGTCCATAACACCTCAGGCATAGAACTGGCATATAATTATATAAAAAAACCCTCTTTTACTGCAGATATTGCAGTCCTGCAAACTCAGGGAGCAGTGGAATAAGGCAGGATGGGTTGTTTCCAGTGCTTTGTTCATGGTCTTTTGGATTTTATCTGTTTCCAGTGAGGTCAGCACTGGTTTTTGCCTGTGGAATTCCAGTTGGGAGCATTTGCTGCCCTTGGTTGTATTTCAGAGTTTTGGGCAGCTGCAGTTTCTGTGTGAGCGTGTGTCTTGCTGAGGAGCTCTGTGCATGTCCTTCACATCCAGGAGCTTTTACGTCTCGCCAAAGGACCGAGTTAAAAACGCTTGTGAGCAGTGGAATTGAGAGAGTCCTGTAAATTTGTTACGCTTCTCTTTCCCAATTCAAATAGCAAACCCAGTCTCTCTTTTCTTCTTGAGCTGGTGGGGGCTGTGGGTCGGGCAGGGCTGTGGGTCGGGCAGGGCTGTGGGTCGGGCAGGGCTGTGCTCTGCATTCATGGGCTGGGGCGCACCACAGGCTGCCCAGGGAGGTGGTGGAGTCTCTGTCTCTGGGGACATTAAAACCCAGTGTGCTGAGATCTGCCTCTGAAGAGCCCAACTATACTCCTCCAACATGGATGTGCCATAGAAATCCATATTTTTAAAAACATTTTTAGCTTACTCTTCTAATGGCAGGTGTTGTCTCATGCCCTGTGTTCACCGGAGCTCTCCCGGAGCAAACACCCAGTGCTGGATTTTATGCCTTTGTCAGGTCTCTCCTGGGAGGGCGAGTGTCAGAGCCCTCCTGAGACAGTTTCTTGTTGCAATATGTCAGCCCCCGGTCTTAGAACAGAACAAAAACTTGATATACTTTTAACTCCTCATGTTTTTAAAGAAATACCTGAGCCATTTTGCTGATGTTCTTTGAGACCCAGTCCCTTTCCAGTGCTGTGCCCTTGGAAAAGGCAAAGAGAGCTTTGAAGTTTTGTGTAGTTAAGAAATTGGGTACCACTCACATTGGTACCCTACCTGTTGAAAATAAGATTTATTTTTTTTTCCTAGTTTGTTTACTTTGTGTATCTTGGAGCAGGTATAAGAGATACTCAAAGCTTAATTGGTAGTTTTCTGTATTCAGGTGTGTATTTGTGTTTTAGAATCATACAATTGTCCAGGTTGGAAGGGACCTTTCAGATCATCCAGTCCAACCATCAACCATCTGATAAAAACCCATCACTAAACCATGTCTCTAAGCTCTATGTCAACCCATCTCTTAAGTCCCTCCAAGGATGGGGCCTCAACCCCTTCCCTGGGCAGCCCATTCCAAGGTTTAATAACCCTTTCAGTGTAAAATTTTTTCCTAATCTCCAATCTGAACCTCCCCTGGCACAACTTGAGGCCGTTTCCTCTTGTCCCATCGCCTGTTCCTTGGGAGAAGAGACCGACCCCCCCTGGCTACACCCTCCTTTCAGGGAGTTGGAGAGAGCGAGAAGGTCTCCCCTCAGCCTCCTTTTCTCCAGGCTGAACACCCCCAGTCCCCCCAGTTTTGTGAGGGTGTGCTCAGTGACACGGTGTAGGGGTTGGCTTCTGCTCACTGATGTTCCCAGACGCGGCGTTTGGCTCAGCCAAAGCTTGTGTTTCACTGCAGTTTGTCATCTTTGCATAACTGGGCATGGTCAGTACAACATCTGGGGATGGTAAAACCATGGGCTTTGATGAATCTGTTAATTGTTCTGGGTCTGGTTTTTCCAGAGCACAGTGCAAACCCAGTGGATGCATCGGTGCTGGCTTTTACCTCTGTGGGCTGAGTCAACTGAAACACGTAAAATAAACCGAAACCAGTAGCCCGTGGGGACCGATGGGGTGAGGAAGCTCTTGTGTTGTCAGTCCATGAGCTGATGTGGCCTCTGAAGCATGGCTGTCTCTGTGGGTCAGACCCAGGGCCAGGACTCAACCTGGAGCTGCCCTGGCGTGAAGGTGTTGAGGCAGATGAGAGGAAAATACCAAAATCCCATGATAATTTCAAGCTCTGTTAGAAGTCATCAGGGAAACCAGTATTTTCCAGCACAAGATAACATCAGAGACAGTATTTATTTGCTGGTGTTGCAAGGCTTGAAGTTTTATAGTTCTCTTTTAACTTCTTTAATTAAAAATGGTTAAAACTATGCCAGCTGTTCTGGTCAATTCCCAACCCTTCCATATTTTCCCCTGGAGGTCTTGTTTTCGGCGGTGCGGGCAGGGATGTACCCAGGGCCTGAACCTTGTGCTGGTAAATCAGACCTTGCCCTCTTGCCCCAGCCCAGCCAGGACACAGGTCGGCAGGGAAGGAGCTTGTGTCCCCTGCCTGTCACCCCGCTGGTAGGGCCAGAAGGTGAGAGCTTCTGGTGGGGTTAAGCTGCTGCTCACGGCGCTGGCTTTCTCTGAAATGACTTCTGGAGCAGGCTGTTTTGGATTGGAGTGGGTGGCAAAGGCCTCTCCTCAGCGTGTCTGAAGTCTGAAAGTCAGCTTTTCCCACTGCATTAGCAAAATCAGCGCGTGTTGTTTGATGAAGTTCTAGCGGTGACACTTTTCCCTGGTTTTGTATTGCTTTTCCGTATCTAATCCATCTCTGAAGTGACAGCACACAGTTTCAGAAGTCTTTTTCTTTCCAGCAGTCATTCCTTTCATTAACCTTCTTGCACCACTGATCACATATTTTATTGTCCCCGTGGCCCGTAACTGTGAAGGTTTTACTAGAATTAATCTTCGTTTATATTTGGTCACCATTCAGTGAGTTTTACATCCTTTGAAAACTGCTGTAAAGCTGTTTCTGAGCGGGAAATACAGTGGCCTTAATGCTCTTAGTATTTATCCCAACTGACAACTCGGGCTGGGGCACGGGGCAGGACGCTGCCTTTGCTTTGCTGTAGCATTAATTTACCTTCCGGCGTTGTCAGCCTTAATTAAGATGCAACTGGAATTTTCCAGGGGAAAGGTGGTGCTGTTTGTGTGCGGGGTCAGTTAAATTTTCTTTAATTGGTTTTCAATAGGGCAATTCCAGTATCTTCTCCCCTCTTTTCTCCTTGGAAAGAGATCCGTGCGGGTTAGTTTGAGTAAGAGAGTAGAAATCCCCGGGATTTCACACTGTTTGAAATATTGACTTTCTGGAAATCACAATATCAAGGTTTTGTTAAACATTGGTGGAGGCAAAGGAATGGAGAACGTTCCTTCTCCTGCCCGAGCAGGCAGTCAGGATGTGGAAGTATCTGTTGATCAGCAGTGAATCAATAAATTGTGTGCCCTTTAACACGACTTTCTGGGTTTCTCTTTGAATTTCTCAAAAATACAGAAAGCTTTTGGTAGCTGTGGGCCACAAGACGCCTTAAGTAATCGCTACCCTAGATAAAAAAATAATATGGACTCTTCCAAAAGTTGGGTTTTTTAATGTGGATTGCTATTTTCCTGCTCAAGAATTTGCGTGTCAGACGTATGGTGTTTAGGTCTTACTCCAAATGGGCATTTTGCCGAAAGCCAAATAGACCTCAAGCGCCTGATTTCAATCCATGAGCCATTGGGTGCGTAAATGCTTTTGTGAATCTGGCTGTTGTTCATGGAGGAGCAAATGCTGTTCACAAAATA